AGCAGTAGAAGATGGCCCAACCCCTTGGGCCCCTGCACCCGCATGGGAGACCTGGAAGAAGCTCCTGGCTCCTGGCTTTGGATTGGCACAGCTCTGGCCATTGCAGCCAATTGGGGAGTGAACCAGCAGATGGAAGACTTCTTTCTCTCTCTGCCTCTCCTCTCTCTGTGTAACTCTGACTTTCAAATAAATAAATAAATCTTAAAAAAAAAAAAAAAAAAAACCCTTTGAGTTCTGCCTTCTTATCCCTCCCCCTAACCCCTATCAACCACTGATTTTTTTTTTTTATTCTCTCCATGGGTTTTGCCTTTTCTAGAATATCATATAGCTGGATAGCCTTCATTTGTTTCTTTTCACATACTTGAAAAGTAAAGTGACACAGAGAGACAAAGAAAGACACCTTCCATCTGTTGGTTCACACCCTCATAACATGGGCTGGGACAAGCTGAAGCCAGGAACCTAGAACTCCACCTAGGTCTCCCCTGTGGGTGGCAAGGGCCCAAGCACCTGAGCCATCATCTGCTGCATCCCAGAATGCATTATCAGGAAACTGCATCGGCACTGGCACTCTGACAGAAGATGCGGGTGTCCTACTGTGTCACAATGGCCTCCACAGATATCCTTAATGTTTTAATGCAGTGGCATTATGGAGTACTTTTATTTCTAACCTTCAAAGATAGTGTTTCAAAGAAGTCAGCTTCCTTGAAACAATCATATGTTCTTCATAGTGAGCCAGTTAGACGAAGAATTATGAAAAAGTAATGAAGTTATTTAGTTTGAGCCCTTACAGGGGAGGGGAACTTCTGGCCATGAGCTGTACAAAACCTGAAATCATTTGGCGCGGTCCTGCCAAGCCAACCACAGGCAGACCCAAAAATCAACATAGCTACAGCAGGCTCATTTTTAAGTTAATCATTTTGTATGGCCTGTGAAAGACGTAAGTAAATATCTAGCTGGCCCCTGGCAGAAACAAGGTTCCCTACCCCTGACAGGGAAATGAGGATCCTGGGAACCTGGCACACGGGTGGAAACAGTCACAGTCACAGCCATTCACGGGCCTGAGAAAAGCCATGACTCATAAAGATGAGGAAGACTGCTCTAACTGGTAATTTGAGTTTGGGGATTAATCAGGCAAGAATTCAGAGAGCAGCTGGATTATTCTGCTTTCTTCTGAAGTGGCCTAATGGGTCTGATTTAATAGTACGTGATCACTGGTTATTTACTTCCTCTTCAAAATGTCTTTCTGGCATAGGACTATTACAAGTCAGTGCCTGGTCTTTGTCGATGCCAACGTATATCAAAGCGTCCTCATTCCCGCTTCCCCCAAATAACTTCATGTATCTTAGTTAATAGTAATACTCGATTAACAAACACCTGCAGTTTTCTTCCAGGGGCTTTTTTGGTTTAACATTTTCCTCTTGATTTTTGTGCTTCCCATCCTGCCAAAAAAAAGACACACACACACACACACACAAAAAAAATAAAAACTCAGTTTATTAAGTATTCAGATGCCAAATGATGATATTGCAATTTTGTTCTGCAACCCCCAAATTCAGTAAAGCTAAGTAGCTTTTTAATTGGGAGAGGGATCTGACTTTCAAGCATATTTTCTCCTTCTCTTCTCCAAAAAGCTTCTTAATTTTTGGATAGTGTTTGCAACAAATGACATTATTTTTTAATTCCTGAGATTCAAATAAAATCCAGAATGTATTCTATTTACTTATAAGTAGGCTCAAGATTTCAGTTACTTCTTAGGAGAAATATAATTTTATTCTTCCTGACTTAGCTCTGAAAAAACCAAGTGGTCATCTCCAGCAGACGGTGTGATCCTCTGGACACTCAATCGAGCAGGAGCCTGGCTACCAAGACAACTTCCACAACCGCCACCACTCAAAGTGTCTACTCTCAAGTTCCAAACCGTATTTTGCCCAATGCTCTGAAGCCCTGCCTGGACAGTTTTTAGAAACAAATTTTTTTTTTTTTTTTTTTTTTGACAGGCAGAGTGGACAGTGAGAGAGAGCGAGAGAGAGAGAGAGAGACAGAGAGAAAGGTCTTCCTTCCGTTGGTTCATGCCCCAAATGGCCGCCATGGCTGGTGCACTGTGCCAATCCGAAGCCAGGAGCCAGGTGCTTCCTCCTGGTCTCCCATGCAGGTGCAGGGCCCAAGCACTTGGGCCATCCTCCACTGCACTCCCGGGCCACAGCAGAGAGCTGGCGTGGAAGAGGGGCAACCGGGACAGAATCCAGCGCCCCGACCGGGACTAGAACCTGGTGTGCCGGCGCCGCAAGGTGGAGGATTAGCCTATTGAGCAGCAGCGCCGGCAAAACAAATTCTTTTAAAAAACAGATTTATTTACTGATTTATTTGAAAGGCAGAGTCACAGAGAGAGAGAAAGGAAGAGACACAGAGATAACTTCCATCAGCTGGTTCACTCCCCAAATGGCTGCAACATCCAGGGCTGAGCCACGCAGAAGCCAGGAACAAATCAACTCCATCCTGGTTTCCATGTGAATGGCAGGAGCCTACACACTTGGGCCACTGTCTGCTGCTTTCCCAGGTGCATCAGCAGGGAGTTAGATTGGAAACAGAGCAGCCAGGTCTTGGACCCAGGTTCATATGGGATGCCACTGTTGCAGATGGCAGTTTAACCCTTTGTACCACAATGCTGGCCCTGGGATAGATTTGTGCACACTCTCCTTGCCTGCCTTGAACCACCGCTATCTGCTTCCAAATGTAGAAACTCGAGTTTCTAGGAAGGAAGGTCAATGTAAATTACCCTCCTGGAAATCCCACTGCAAGGCAATTGAGAATTGAGAAACCTAATGTTCATTGGGAGAAGAGTAACAAAGGCTATGATTTTAAAGAAACCTTTGTATACCCTTTAGATTTTATACTCACTATGCACAAATAATAAAGAAAGCATGTGACACAGAGTGGTTCTTTGCACATTTTGTTAGTAACAGATACTGCATTTTCGCATTCTTTTCTACTTTCTAGCTCAAAAAGCAGCAGCAGCTCACTCTATAAATTCTAAATAGGAAGCATGTAAATTTGTCTTGCTTTGATACAGTATGTACATAAGGGAGGCAATTTTTTCTCTGCAGTTTGTCTTTGATGGCAAAAGTATATCACACTTTTCTGGTTTCATTATTTGAAGAGGTTGGCTCCTGGTGATGATCAGACCTGATTTGAGCTCTCTCATCGCCGCAGGTGCTGGAAGCCTTGCCTTCCAAAGCCATTCTGCAGAAATTTCCACTTGTGCACTTCAAATCACTCTACATTAATTATTCTCCCTTTCCCAGGACTAAGTTCCCTCTCTTCCTATCTATTCCCAAGAGGAGATTCTGAGTATACTCAGACTGAAATCCTCATGATTTTGAAGACAGTATATACAGAAACAAACCCACATTTAAGACATTGTGTTAAAGTGGAATTCAGGCTGGGGAGGGGTTATTATACCATATTATTGAAAATATTAGCAGATAACCAAGAAAACACATATTTTTGTTAAGAGAGCACAATAATCTTTGTTTTAAAACTTAAAAGGAAAAGAGAGTCACTGAAAGTGATGACTGTTAAAATCCACCTTTCCAAATGAAGTCAAGTTGGAGAATGTGCTAAAGGCAGACCCAGAATCAAGCTTTCCTCTGCTCACTCCATCCTTAAGTTTGCTGTGCACATCCTCCAGGCCACAGCTTGATTCAGGAAGTGAATCCCCAAAGAAACCCCACAGGCCCATCAAGGTAGCCTTCAACACTACCCTAAACGTCAGTAAACAAAGGAGTAACAGATATTACCATCTTGGGTTCTGGCTTTTGGGAAGCCCTTCCCGGGATGCTCCTGTTGTTCTGTAACCGTCTTTCTCTTTCCAGTTTTAGTTCCAACTCCAGCTGGTTCCTTGGATGGGTGGGAGAGGAAAGGAATGAAAAACTTGGATTTCTACATTCACATTGTCTAAAGAACGCTGAACTCTGGTCTTAAAATTAAAATTTTCAGTACATACAGTAGTGAAGTTTCAATACAGTTCCATTTCATATTACTTAGCTGGTCTCTTTATAGCTATCTATCCAATCCTCACTCACACCCTCATAACCACTAGTGTTCCTTCTAGTTCTCTTCTTTATATCCAACAAAGCACTACTTATGTTTGAAGTCAGTGGCTTCAGCATAGAAGTGAGTCTCATTTGAGAGAGAATACAGACTAGTTAAGGGCTTATATCAGAGAGACAGGTTTTAAAATGATCATGTTGCCATTTACTACCTGTGTGAATGGGATACACTTAACCCCTCCAAGGTTTAATTTCACCTGAAAGCAAAGCAATAATATTGCCTGCTAAGAGGGGTGGATGTGCAAGGAGAGATTGCATGTGAGGTGTTTGTAAAGTGTCTGGCACATAGAATTCAGTAAATACTAACTTTTATTATTAGGATTATGTTGGCCATTAATTACTATTAATCTAGGACCATGGACTCTAATCTCCTAAAGGATGTTGACAGGATTTGGGGAATACCAAAGCTTCCTGAATTCCAACTCCAGAGGAAGGACATTGAAAAGCCAGAGCTGAGATGTCTGAAGGCCATGAGCGCCCCTTCCTTCTCCTCCTGTCTGGCCCTGAATTACCCATGACCACCCTGCCAGTTCAAGCTGCCCTCTCTTCACCGCTGCCTGGTGAGCTCCTCCACTTCCAGCTGCAGACTGTTGATCTTGTCTCCAAAGTCCTGTTTGAAGAGCCGGTTGTCCAACTCAGCAGACTGGCGGCCTCGCTCAGCCTGGCGCAATCTGGATGTGAGCCACATGAACTTGTGATAAAAAACAAAACCATGGTGGGGAGGAAGACCAAGTTCACAACACAAAATAAAATAACCCAACGAAGACGGCATGGACAGAGAGGAAAAAAACTGCGAAGACACAGGGGAAGAAATTAAGGGGGCAGAAAAGATGGTAAAGGAACAAATTCTAAAGAAACACAAGATGATGGTGAACCAGGCAGAGGAAAAGCTGATTTTGCACTTTTTTTATTCTAATACTACAGTTTACAGCCATTAGATGATAAACATTAAAACAACACTTTTTAGAAAATTCATATCCAAAGCCAACCTCAAATACACAGCAATTTAGTTAAATCCACTTGCTTGTTTGTTCTTATTTCCTAATAGATCTGGTACTTTATATTTCTGTTTTACACACATAACTGGAACTTGCAAATGGGCAACTACCTTATATGTGGAACTGTAACATTAATTTTTCTGGTCCTTTCCCCAGACCATGTACATTATTAGCTCATGGGACATTCTACATCAACCCTTCTCCAGGCTCCGGGTTACTGTATAGTAAAAGCCTTTGTCAAAATTTGGTTCCCTCTCCTATTTCATTCCTGCCTAGTGGTGTGTGACTAACGGCCTCGGCACTGGGCCTGAGTAAGACTCATGACCATGTTCTTGAGAAGATTCTGACGGACATTTTCTCCTAAGAATCTTTATAAATTTGCACCTATGAAGAATTATGTTTTACAAGGTAAAAAATTGGGGGCTTTATATAATAGTATTTAGAAGCATGCTATGTGCAGTCTTTAAGTAGTTTTATTTTGGAGTTTGATCATTCCTTCCAAATGCTTATTAAAAAGGCTATCACAAAAGGTTGCTGAAGATGAGAACAAAGTGGGAGCTGCATTTATAAAGGTGCAAAATTATAAGAACTAAAATAAGTTCAAGAGCACAGGATCTTCCAGGAAGCTGATCTAAACATATGTTCTTTGACTTGATTTTGATTCAAATCTGTGCAAGAACCTACAAATGCACCCAGGGAATCTACCGCACTCCTTTAATCATGGTTTTGCCAAGAAGAAGCTAAGGAATTTGAAAAGCTGGAAACAAAGGGGTTGTCTTTGTCTTCACCTAAGCAGCTGAAATGCCGCAAAGTGTATCAGAATAGGGAACAAAAGGGAAAAAAGAACCCAGAATACTATGCCAAGATCTTTTGAAGGAATGAAGGCTTATGTGAAGCCTGTACTCCAAATCAAAAGCCATTAGAAGAAAAAAAAAAATCAAAGTACTTATAGGGTTATTTACAACGTAAGAGCTAAAAGGGTTAGATCTGTGATCACTTAGAAAAAAAGCCCTGCTAATATTGCTTGTGGATATCTACTGGGAATATTTATTTGTTACTAACAAAGAATATAAGTTTATCATTTATCTATTTCCTTTTCTGAAATATTTTTAATAATTAAATTATTAGTTTCCCAGAACCTTTAACAAATCCCCATCTGCACAAAAACTCGTAAGTAAAACATTGCTGGGAAAGGAATGGCAGGAAGAAAATAATCACTTATGCCTACGTCTTTTCACTCTAGTAAGAAAAGCAGGACAGTTTTGAAAAATGTGTAGTGCTTACAATTTTTTTACAGGAGAGAACATTTTCATTAACATTTTTCTCTCTGAGTTATCTAAATAGAAAGTGGAATTGCAACAAAATGGCAGAGGTAGAAGATGGCAAATATTAGGAGGGTTTTCCCAAGCTTCCACGTTATGTTATCATAAGTTACCTAATTCCTAACTGTATCTCTATGTACTTTAAAGAAATCTAAGGATGCTTTTTTTTTCTTTTTTCTTTTTTTCACCCAAAGTCACTAAGGCAAAAAAACTGCAAGCAATCTTGGTTATTGAGAGTAGAACTGTAGGGAAATACTTTAGTTCTTATCCCTGGGCCTGGGGACGAAATCTATACAACAAAATTGAAAAGGGGCCATGGCGTAACAGACACAGAACTACTTTGGAAGAGTCCAGGTTCACACGCTAGTCACCTCTAGTTCATTACACGGCAATGGCAGAACAGGCTTGCAGACACACACACGAACAATGCACCAAGAATCTGACATTATCAAGGACTGGGCTGTAAAGGCATCCTTAATATATGCACAGCACTCCAATTCCCTAGGCTTCTGTTTTAATGGTGTTTTATTTATTGGTCAACTCGTAATTAATTTCTCAAAGTTTTATTTGGCATTTAATTAGGAACCTATACCAAATTTTCTAACTCTGGGCAGAAAATAAAAAAAAATTCAACCTATATGTCCAATTATTTTTTTAAAGTCCAACAAATTCAAAGTCAACTTTTGGTGATATTTTCTATAGGGTCAGAATTTAAACATAATAACTTTCTGATTTCTTCCTTTTACAACTGTTGTGATAACAGACTTCTGAGGTGACCAACTGCAAAACGCCTAATGATGTTTTGGAATCAGTTTATTTGCTGCACTATTTAAGGTCTTTGCCTGTTTCACCAAATCCTTTTCACTAAATAAAATAAAAATGAAAAACGGAGTGAAAGGGGAATGAGAAAACGGATAAATAGGAAACACAAAAATAGCAAGAGAGTAAGTCAGCTTAATATTCAAAGAGATGTCATCATTTTAGTTCTATCTGTTTTAAATGACAAGTCTAAAAAACACTGAAAAGTAATTTATACATTTCAAAAGCACAACTAATGAACATGAAAATGAATTTATTAAATAATAAATGTGTAACTGCTTATGAGAAATTACTTAAATAACTTTCTTTCAGAAGTGAACCAATAGTGTTTATTTATCAGCCATACCAGAGGCTTGAAGCTCATTTATTAATTTGCAATTTACTTTTGAGTGAACGTTAACATGTAATGCTGTACAGGACTCTCCCTGGTTAAGAATCACCTAAATAAAAGAAGTCATCCATTCATTTATCTGCTGAATCAATGTCCTGAATATTCAAGGCGCTGTGACAGATCCAGTGGGAAGGAGCTTAACAGATCAGTTAACTAATCTAAAGGAACTTATACTCTCATTGGAGGGTAAGATACAGGTTGAAAAGGACTACAAGATAAAGCAGACAGTAGGAAGAGTTATAAGTGGTGTGGATCCTAAGGATATACGCCATGGAAATTCCAAGAGAACAAATGGCTTCTAGTTGGGAAGAGCCATCAGAGGAAGCTCTGGAGTGAGGCACTTCAGTCTAGTTGTAACAAATACACCTGAAGAACAAGGGAGGGAGTAGAGGACAGGCAGTTCTAACGGACAGAACTTTTAGGAATGGAATAGGCAAGGAAAACGGCATGTAAGTCCAAGGGCCAGGACTTTATTTTGATCACATACAGGAAGGATGATGAGTGAGGTTAAAAGCAGAAATAGCGAATGACCATGAGGAGTGCCATGCTACACTCAAGCAGCCATTTCTCTTAGTGCTGAGTCACCAGGAAGAAAACAATGGTCTTAGACAAAAAGAAACAAGAGAGTGGCACGGGGAAAAGATGCGCCTCAGGCAGATGGACTGTAGGCACTGATAGGAGACAGCTGGTCAGCTGGTCACTTAGAAGTGGTCTCCAGATGGAGGTCAGAGTTGGAGATTCATGCTGGGTAAGACATTGTAGGCTACAGGACTGTGCAGGATAAAGTAGAAAGAAGAGGGAGATGTGAAAGAGGAGAAAAAGGTTCAAGTTAAAGAAGGGAAAGATCAGAATACATCCCTGGAGGACACCTATGTCTCAGTACCCCAACATCACCTAGCCTCAAAGTATTCAAAGACTTTAGTGATGAATAATAAAATTACAAACACATATTTAAAAGTGCTTTCATCTGAGGATCTTTTCTCTCACATCAACAATGAAATGCATTAAGAGTTCCAACAATCAGAACAATCAAGAAAGGTTAATGTTACTTTAAAATGCTGTCAGTGACATCTTAGAAAACAAAATCTGTCAAATTGGAAGAACTTCATATACTTCTCTTTGCCAAATGCAAAGCACTTCACTTCACTTCCAGCACTGACAGCCCAAAATGTTTCATGAAGGAAAAAGCACTTTTACCTTTGCTCAAGTTGTTTAATGGTAGCAGCCATCTGATTAGTCTTCTCTTCTAAGCGACTGTTTAGTTCACTTTTCTGTTTTACCCCTAAGTCTGAACTCTGTTACAGAAAAGAATAAGAAATAATTTATGTAACATTTTAAAAAGATTTATTTATGTATCAGAAATATAGAATTAGAGAGAGAGAGAGAGAGGGAGAGACATTCTATCTACTGGTTGACTCCCCAAATGACCGTACTGGCCAGGTCAAACTCAGAACTCCATCTAGGTCTCCCATGTGGGTGGCAAGGGCCCAAGTACTTGGGTCATCTTCCACTGCTTTCCCAGGCACATCAGCAGGGAGCTGGATTGGAAGTGGAGCAGCCAGGACTTGAACCAGTGCTCATGTGGAATGCTGACATTATATGTAGAGGCTTAACCTGCTGTACCACTATGCTATTCCCAACATATAATCTTTTTTATTGCTTTAATCTTTATATTTAAGGTAAACAAATATCCAGTATATACAGATTTAGGAACATAGTGATATTTCCCACCCTTCGTCCTCCTTCCTCTCTTATTCCCTCTCAATTTTTATAATTATCTACTTTGTTTACTTTATACTTATAAAATTAATCCTACACTAAAGAGTTCCACAAATAGTAAAAAGAAAAAAACACTGCTCCTCAGCAGTAGAAACAACAGCTGTAAACAATCATTCAATCTCAAAATGTCAATTTCTCTTACACATTACATTTTTGGTACTCTGTTAATTACCACAGATCAGGGAAAACATGGTATTTGTCTTTATGGGATTGGCTTATTTCACTAAGTATAATGGTTTCTAGTTGCATCCATTTTATTGCAAAAGACAGGATTTCATTCTTTTTTTACCACTGAGTAGTATTCCATACTATATATACCACAATTTCTTTATCCATTCATCAGTTGATGGCTATCTGGGTTGATTCCATATCTTAGCTAATATGAATTGAACTGCAATAAACATGGGGGTACAGGGAAGTCTTACAATGCTGATTTCTTTTTCTTTCTTTTTTTTTTTTTTAATTTTTTGACAGGCAGAATGGACAGTGAGAGAGAGAGAGAGAGAGAAAGGTCTTCCTTTGCCGTTGGTTCACCCTCTAATGGCCGCTGCGGGCACAGCACCGGCTGGTGCAACGCGCTGATCCAAAGGCAGGAGCCAGGTGCTTCTCCTGGTCTCCCATGGGGTGCAGGGCCCAAGCACTTGGGCCATCCTCCACTGTACTCCCTGGCCACAGCAGAGAGCAGGCCTGGAAGGTGAGCAACCAGGACAGAATCTGGCACCCCGCCCGGGACTAGAACCCGGTGTGCCGGCACCCCAGGCGGAGGATTAGCCTAGTGAGCTGCGGTGCCGGCTTCAATGTTGATTTCATTTCCTTTGGGTAAATTCCCAGGAGTGGGATTGCTGGGTCATATTGTTTATCCATTTTCATCTTTCTGAGGTATCTCCATACAGTCTTCCACAATAGCTGTACTAGTTCACATTCCCACCAAAAGTGGATTAGGGTACCTTTTCCCCCACATCTTCACCAGCATTTATTGTTTGTTAATTTATGTATGACAGCCATTTTAACTGGGGTGAGGTGAAACCTCATTCTAGTTTTGATTTGCATTTCCCTGACAGCTAGTGATCCTGAGCAGTTTTTCATGTGTCTATCGGCCATTTGAATTTCCTCTTTTGAAAAATGCCTGTTTAAGTCCTTTGCCCATTTCTTAACTGGATTGTTTGTTTTGTTGTTGTTGAGTTGCTTGAGCTCTTTATAGATTCTGGACATTAATCCTCTATCAGCTGCACAGTTTGCAAATATTTTCTCCCATTCTGTCAGTTGCCTCTTTTTTGCAATGCAGCACAAAGCTTCTCAACTGGATATAATCCCATTTGTCTATTTTGGCTTTGACTGCCTGTGCTTCTGGGATCTTTTCCAAGAAGTCTTGGCCTATGCCAATGTCTTGCAGAGTTGCCCTAGTGTTCTCCTCTAGTAATCTGATGGTATCAGGTCACAGATTTAGCTCCTTGATCCATTTAGAGTTTGATTTTTGTTTAAGGTGTAAGGTAGGGGTCTTGTTTCATACTCTGCACATAGAGATCCAATTTTTCCAGCACCATTTGTTGAAAAGACTGTCCTTTCTCCAGGGATTGATTTTAGCTCCTTTGTCAAAGATTAGTTGGCTGTAGATGTGTGGATTGGTTTCTGGAGTTTCTATAATTTTCCATTGGTCTACATGTCTATTTTTGTGCCAGTACCAGGATATTAGACTCCCCCCCCCCCCCCCCTTCTCCTTTTACAGGCAGAGTGGACAGTGAGAGAGAGACAGAGAGAAAGGTCTTCCTTTGCCATTGGTTCACCCTTCAAGGGCCGGTGCGGCCAGTGTGCTGAGGCCGGCGCACCTCGCTGATCCGAAGGCAGGAGCCAGGTGCTTCCTCCTGGTCTCCCATGGGGTGCAGGGCCCAAGCACTTGGGCCATCCTCCACTGCACTCCCGGGCCACAGCAGAGAGCTGGACTGGAAGAGGGGCAACCGGGAAAGAATCCGGCGCCCCGACCGGGACTAGAACCCGGTGTGCCGGCACCACAAGGCGGGGGATTAGCCTACTGAGCCACGGCGCCGGCCGGGATATTGGATTTTAACTGCCCTGTAATATGTCTTAAAATCTGATATGGTGCTGTCTCAGGCTTTTTGTTATTTTAGATTGCTTTAGCTATTCGGGGTCTCTTGTGTTTCCATATGAATTTTAGCACCATTTTTTTTTAAATCTGAGAAGAATGTCATTGTATTTGGATTGGGATAGCATTGACTCTGTAAATTGGTTTAGGTAGTATGGACTTTTTTGATGATATTAATTCTTCCAATTCATGAGCATGAAAGCTTTTTCCATTTTTTGGTGTCTTCCATTTTTTTCTTCAAAAATTTTTTAAAATTTTTAAATTTATTAAATTTTTTAAATTAAAAATTTTTTTTTCAACTCCTTGGTTAAATTTATCCCAGCTATTTACTTCTTTTTGTAGCTATTGTGAATGGGATTGATCTTATAAGTTCTTTCTCAGCCATGGCATTGTCTGTATATACAAAGGCTACTGAGTTTTTTGTATTAATTTTATATCCTGCAACTTTAACAAACTCTTTTATGAGTCCAATAGTCTCTCAGTAAGTCTTTTGCTTCTCCTAAAAATAGAATCATGTCATCTGCAAATGGATAATTTGACTTCCTCTTTTCCAATTTGTATCCCTTTGATTTCTTTTTATTGCCTAATGGCTCTGGCTAAAACTTACAGGACTATATTGAATAGCAATAGTGATTGTCTGGTTCCAGACCTTAGTGGGAAGACTTCCAGCTTTTCCCCATTCAATAAGATGCTGGCTGTGGGTTTGTCATGAATAGCCTTGATTGTGCTTAGTTTTCCTTCTATACGCAATTTGCTTAAGGTTTTTATCAGGAAAAGATGTTGTATTTTATCAAATGCTTTGTCTGCATCTATTGAGATAATCATATAGTTTTTATACTTAAATTTACTAATGTGATGTATCGTATTTATTGATTTGCCTAAGTTGAACCATCCCTCCATATCAAGGATAAATCCTACTTGGTCCGGGTGAATAATCTTGCTGATGTGCTGTTGGATTTGATTAGCTAATATTTCGTTGGGGACTTTTGCATCTATGTTCATCAGGATATTGGTCTATAGTTCCCTTTCTTTGTTGTATCTTTTTCTGGTTTAGGACTTAAATTGATGCTGGTCTCACAGAAGGAGTTGGGAGGATTCCATCCCTTTTAATTGTTTTTGAATAGCTTGAGAAGAATTGGAATTAGTTCTTCTTTTAAAGTCTGGTAGAATTCAGCAGTGAAGCCATATTGATCCTGGACTTTTCTTTGGGTCTTCATTACTGATTGTCTCCATTTTGGTTATTGATCTGTTTACATTTTCTATGTCTTCAGGACTCAGTGTTGGTAGACTGTATGTGTCCAGGAATCTATCCATTTCTTCTAGATTTTCCAATTTGTTGGTATATAGTGTTTGAATTACTTCTTAATGATTCTTTTTGTTTCTGTAGTATCCACTGTTATATCTCCTTTTAAATCTCTGAATTCATTAATTTAAGTCTTTTTTTTTTTTTTTGGTTAATTGAGCCAATGGTATTCTCAATTTTGTTTATTTTTATAAAAAACTGGCTCTTGTGGCTGGCTTAGTGGGCTAAGCTTCTGCCTGTGGTGCCAGAATCCCACAGGGTGCCAGTTCAAGTCCTGGCTGCTCCACTTCTGATCTAGCTCTCTAGTATGGCCTGGGAAGGCAGTGGAAGATGGCCCAAGTGCTTGGGCCCCTGCACTTACGTAGGAGACCCAGGAGATGCTCCTGGCTCCTGTCTTCAGATTGACTCAACTCCAGTTATTGCAGCCTTTTGTCAAGTGAACCAGAGGATGTAAGACCTTTCTCTCTGTCTCTCCCTCTCTCTGTAACTCAACCACTCAATTTATTTATTGACAGGCCGAGTGGACAGTGAGAGAGAGAGACAGAGAGAAAGGTCTTCCTTTTGCTGTTGGTTCACCCTCCAATGGCCGCCGCGCTGCGGCCGGCGCACCGCGCTGATCCAATGGCAGGAGCCAGGTACTTCTCCTGGTCTCCCATGCGGTACACTCTAGGGCCCAAGTACCCAGGCCATCCTCCACTGCACTCCCTGGCCACAGCAGAGAGCTGGCCTGGAAGAGGGGCAACCAGGAAAGAATCTGGCTCCCCGACCGGGACTAGAACCTGGTGTGCCGGCACCGCAAGGCGGAGGATTAGCCTAGTGAGCCGCAGTGCCGGCTATAAATAAAATCTTAAAAAAAAAAAAAACAACAACTAGCTCTTCATTTCAATGATCTTTTGTAACTTTTTTCATTTCAATTTTGTTTATTTCTTCTCTAATTTTAATAATTTCTGTCCTCCTACTATTTGGGGTTTGGTTTGTTGTCTTTCTTGGTCCTTGAGATTCAATGATAGCTCATTTATTTGGTATCTTTCCAATTTCTTGATGCAGGCACCAACTTCTATAAACTTTTTTTTTTTTTTTTTTATTTATTCACTTGAGAGGCAGAGTTACAGAGAGATAGAGAAAGAGAGAGAGAGGGAGGGAGGGAGCGAGGGAGGGAAGGACTCTAACCCCTGGTTCACTCCCCAAATGGCCATTAACTGCTGGAGCTGGGCCTATCTGAAGCCAGGAGCCAGGAGCCTCTTCCAGGTCACCCAATGGGTGCAGGCATCCAAGTGCTTGGGCCATCTTCTACTGCTTTCCCAGGCCATCAGCAGGGAGCCGGATCAGAAGCGGAGTAGCTTGGACTTGAACTGGTGCCTATATGGGATGCCAGCACTGCAGGCGGATGCTTAACCTACTACACCACAGGGTTGGCCCCTAAACTTCCCTCTTAACATTGTTTTTCCCATAAGTTAACATTGCTGTATCCCATAAGTTTTGATATGCTCTAATGTCATCTTCATTCATTTCCAGAAATTTTTTCATTTCTCTTTTGATTTCTTTCTTTTATGAACTATTATTCATTCAGGAGCACGCTGTTCAGTCTCCATGTGTTGGCATATTTTCTAGAGATTCAATTGTTAATTTCCAGCTTCATTCCATTGTGGTCAGAAAAGATGCATGGTATGATTTCATTTTTTTTTTTTTTTTTTTGACAGGCAAAGTTAGACAGTAAGAAACAGACAGAGAGAAAGGTCTTCCTTTTTCCATTGGTTTACCCCCCAAATGGCCGCTATGGCCAGCACGTTGTGGCCAGTGTGCTGTGCCGATCCGAAGCCGGGGCCCAGGTCTTCCTCCTGGTCTCCCATGCGGATGCATGGCCTAAGGACCTGGGCCATCTTCCACTGCACTCCCGGGCCACAGCAGAGAACTGGACTGGAAGAGGAGCAACCGGGACAGAATCTGGCGCCCTGCTCGCGACTAGAACCTGGGGTGCCGGCGCTGCAGGCGGAGGATTAGCCTAGTGAGCCATGGCGCCGGCCTTTTTTTTTTTTTAATTTGGTAAGACTTGCTTTGTGGCCTAGCATATGGTCTATACTAGAGAAAGTTCCATGTACTGGTGAAAACAATGTGTATTCTGCAACTGTGGGATGAAAGGTTCTATAGATATCAGTTATGTCCATTTGTCCATAGTGTAGATTAGCTCTGTTTGTTGATTTTCCATTGATGAAATGGAAATATGCCCATTGACGAAAGCGGGGTGTTGAAGTCCCCCATTACTCTTGTATTGGATCCTATCTCTCCCTTTAGATCCATTAGTATTTGTTTTAAATAGCCAGGTGTCCTGGCATTGGGTGCATACGCATTTATTACAGTCACATCTTCCTGTTGAACTGATCCCTTAATCATTACTTAATGTTCTTCTTTGTCTCTTTTAACAGTTTTTCTGCTAAAGTCTATTTGTTTGATATTAGGATGGCTACACCTGTTCATTTTTACTTTCTGTTAGCATGGACTATCTTTTCCCATCCTTTCTTCTATCCTTTCATTTTCAGTCTATGTGTATTTTCCCAACATTTAATCTAGAAATATAACTATATCTGCCTTTTGACTCTAAAGGTAAATAAACAGAAATGGTCATATGTTTATCAATTAATTCCCAAATGGAAAACAAGAAGCAAAAGGTATTTATTTAAAATTAGTTTTGTTATATGCAGCTCTCAGACAGTATCAGAAGGTACACCAATTTATCTAATACGTTAGAGTGGTGTACAGAAGTTATCTCATAGGAAAGTAAAGACCCAGATCTCCACTGCCACGTGAACAGTGGCCCTGTTTTCCAGAACAGCAACAGCAGCTCCTTGCACAGTTTAATTCTTAAAGTGGTTTACTGGCAGCTAGCTTCAAATGTGATGTATTTGAAGTGAGATTCTAGAGGACAAGAAGGGCAAGGGCAGTGTCAAGAAGTCAGAGAGCCAGCAAGTCCATGCCTCTTCCTTCCCTTACCTGCAGCTTGAAGGCAAGTTCATGCTTGAGAGCCCTGAGGTCATCCAGCTGCTGCCGCAGAGACACCAGAGCATCCTGCTTCTCACAGACATCCTTCTCCAGCATCTTCATAGCTAATTCCATCTCCTGTCTCATGCTGATTTGCAGCTCCAGTTCCTTTTCAACATCCTGACCCCAAAGGTAAATACATTGCTTACTCATAATAGTTCACAGGAAAGGTGAGACCAAAACTGAATAGTTGGGCAAAATAGCTATAAGCTGCCATTCATTTACAGAGACTGTAACAACGAGGATCACAGTTAGGACAATTATAGTAACATTTGCTCAATATTGTATAAATCTGAAACACTTGCTAGGCCAAAGACAGTGTACTTAGTGTCTAAAATATTCATGTAATTGAGGTACTTTGTTACAAATTAAGACAATGGATGCCACATCCTCTTATAGAACTATGCATGAAATGCTACAGTACTCAGCACAAAATGAGGCAGCTGCAATTTTGCTGAATTTGAATATTACTGATATAGTCATGAGCCCATGGAAACCAGAAGGCACTCTAGGTCCCTAGGGTACATGGTCTACACAGCTAACTGAATTTTAGGTTCACTTAATAAGAAACCTCCTTTTGTATGGACCATGATTAACACAGTATTATGCAGAAGACAGATACAAAGTCCTGAAGTTCTTCTACACCCACACTGTACACAGGACCTTGCCTAATATTTTAGTTTCTTACCTTAACAAACATTTATTGTAATAAAAGGATATGGAAAACTTTCAGATTTTCATCAGGGGCTGTTTAACTGAGATTCCTGTCTTTACATGATTAGCAAAAATTAATCATTGTTTCTGAAAATGCAGAGATAGATTATCACTAGGAACAACCCAAAGGGAAGCACTTTTGAGATTTAATTCATAAACACATAAAAAGCAAATACTAATTATCTCAAGGATGTTAAAATAACATTGCTTTATTTTCAGAGAACCCAAAACACTGATGGACACTGTAAAGGTGTGGTAAGTTTGGAGTACAAATGAACCCACCCCTCATTTTCAAGCTTTCCTCAATTCCTTGAGAAACTAGAGGCATTCTTGTTTGTCACCCTACCTGAACTTCTGGAGGAGTTAACACAATGATACTCACACTTGGATAAAATTGATCAGAACAGTATCATTCCTTTTTTTTTTTTTTTTTTTTTTTTTTTTAATTTGACAGGCAGAGTTAGACAGTGTGAGAGACAGAGAGAAAGGTCTTCCCTCCATTGGTTCATTCCCCAAATGGCTGCCACGGTTGGCACAATCTGAAGCCAGGAGCCAGGTGCCTCCTCCTGGTTTCCCATGCAGGTGCAGGGGCCCAAGCATCTGTGCCATCCTCCACTGCCCTCTCGGGCCACAGAAGAGAGCTGGACTGGAAAAGGAGCGACCAGGACTAGAACCCGGTGCCCATATGGGATGCCGGTGCCGCAGGCAGAGGATTAACCAAGTGAGCCACGGCGCTGGCCCCACGATGAGTTCGTATGGGTATAATTTTTATTTAAAAAAAATTCTCAATTCTAATGCCAAATCACAACTTTTACCATTTATCTCTAGGAGCAAGAATAATTTACAAATAACAGCAAAAAAGAAGAAGAGTAATTCTCTGTCAGGGATTCTTGATGAGGAACAGAGGAGTTACCCCTCCCAGAACACTTAACACTGCTGCTGGAGGACTGCATGAGATGAGAAAGCAGATTTTGTATACTTAATGTTCTTGGAACACAAAGTATAAGAGGAAAAACTATTAAGATTAGCTAAATCTCATTGCTGCTGAGAATACTCAGAAAATGGACTGAGAGGGTGCACTGTAGCAAAGTGGGCTAAGCCTCAGCCTGCAGCACTAGCGTGGGCACCAATTCATGTTCTGGCTGCTCCTCTTCCAATCCAGCTCTCTGCTGTGGCCTAGGAAAGTAGTGGAAGATGGCCCAAGTCCTTGCGTCCCTGCACCCAAGTGAGAGACTCAGAGAAGCTCCTGGCTCCTATCTTCAGATTGGTTCAGCTTTGGCCGTTGCGGCCATCTGGGGAGTGAACCAGTGGATGGAGGACCTCTCTCTCCATCTCTCCCTCCCTCTGTCTGTAACTCTGCCTCTCAAATATATAAATCTTAAAAAAAAATAGATTAAGATTTATAGGGAATGTGGTTTAAAATGAATGAGAAACAATTTTATAGGATCCATAAAACATCTTTTTCAACCTTAAGAGGTTTTTATTTACTAATTATCATAATCTTACATATTTATGGGGCACAGTGTGATAATTTCACTTATATATCTAATGGTGCTGATAAAATCATTCTAGTTAGCATTTCCACGTCCTTAGATAATTGAAACAGACTGGCTGCTTAACACCTGATAACTGTGTGTACCTACAAGTTATAATGTGTTCCACCACATGTATACAATGCACACACGCAAATTTTACAACACCATTTATACCTCTGATCTTGGTCTTCTCCTGTAAAACCTTTTAATGTGTTTTTGATCTAGTAGCATCTTCTTAAAACAAATTTTCTAAGTTTTTAAAATATTTAATTTATTTATTTTAAAGACAGAATTACATAGAGAAAGGGGGAGAGAGAGAGAGAGAGAGAATCTTACATCTGCTGGATCACTCCCCAAATGGCTGCAACAGCCAGGGCTGGGCCAGGTTGAAGACAGGAGCCTGGAAATTCATGTGGGTCTACCACATGCGTGCAGGAGCCCAAGCGCTTGCACCAGCCTCTGGTGCTTCCCAGGCACCTTAGCAGGGTCAGAAATGGAGCAGCTGGGACATGAACTGGCACCTTAATGGGTTGCTGGCATTGCAGGCAATGGCTTAACTTGCTGTGCCACAATACTGGACCCTGAACTATTAGAATCTAAGCAAAGCTTACCAGTCGTAATTGTGTCTCCTCCTTCAAATGTTTTCTGGCTTCACTTAGTGCTTGCCCTTCTGAAGTTCTGTCTTGCTTAGGACCCTTAAAGAGGTATATATTACATATTTGAGCATATAAATAATCCACACCATACCTAAGCAGGTCTAACAACACAGAAAGAGAATAAGGTAACTGAAAAGGTCTAGTAAATTTCAAAAGACCTGAACTATGAAGTTTCCCGTTACTTTATCTAAAATCGTAAGATAGGTTATCAAACTAGGTGGTAACATTTTAGCCTTAAAAAAAAATCCAGTATTCGCTGCAAATTATGAGTTGTGCCAAAAGTTTAAATGGGAAATATCAATTCTCCAGAAATCTTGTGTCTACTGTTTTCAACTATAGAAGGATTTTACAGCTAGAAATAAATAGGTATCAAAAATCTCTTCCGTGCATTCACACTGGTTTTCATTAAGTCCATTCAGTAAAATCAAACTCTATTCTTAGAAATAATTGCTAAAGAGCGTACTCAGAGCCTAACTGCTTTTTAGGAACAATTTTAGTAACTATAGACATGTGCATTCCTAGGTTACAACAGATTAGAAATCTAGGTGCTTGAAGCTCTATCAATCTTAGCAGTTTCCTATCACAGCATCTTTATAATTTAGTATAGAACTACCTAGATTGATAATTATGATCTTCCGTCAGCACACATGCCTAAATGCGTCGTTAAGTCCTGCAACTAAGGAGATTTAGAATTGTGCAATATAGAAAAAGTCTGCAAAAATTTGATGAAACACACAAAAAAGTTTGCTCTTGAAGAGATTAACTCTTTCCCAGTGATATCACATAAATGAGGTGTCAGTCACTTCTTATAAAGCACTTACATGTTATAAAGATAATGGTATATTCAATATAACAAGTATAATAGTTAAATACAATACAATACAAATCAGTACATAAAAGCAAGAAACTGAGTTCAACTTTCTGGCAGTTTCTAAACAGATGTAGGAGGCAGGGAAGCCAAGGAGCATCTGTGAGAAGGGGTGTAACCCAGCCATAACGTTTGCTGTGTACTCAATTAAGCACAAGACTGAAGTAAAAACAGTATGCTTGAGACGTGCAAGTACCCGCTGCTTAAAACAGCCCTCCTGCTGCTAACACATCGATGCGCTCCCTGTGAATACTTTATAAGTCCAGTTAGACTAACCTTCCGATTGGACTCCAATATGTAGGAGCTTTCCTCTTTGACTCGTTCCATTTCTTCTTGCAAGGTAATAATCCTGTTGTTTGCAACTGCGAGCTGTTGATGAAATTTAAAGAGAATCTTTTATCATTTGTTAATATAGTACAACTCATGATGTGCTAGGACATATTTTTTAGGTTTGGATATTCTTGGGAATGAACAAAGCCATCTATAACCCAATAAAAATGTGCTGGAGTAGGCATTTGGCGTAGTGGTTAATATGCCTGCTGGGACACTCACATTCCACATGGGAGTGCCTGGCTCATGTTCTATTTGCTCCTGATTCCAGATCCCTGTTAATATGGATCCTGGAAGCAGCAGGAGATGGCTGTATTACATGGGTCCCTGCCACTCATGTGGGAGCCCTGGCTCCCAGGTTCAGCCTCAGTCCAGGTCCAGCTGTTGTGTGATGCATTTTGGGGAGTAAAACAGATCAGAGCTCTCCTTCTGTCTGCCTGCCTTTCAAATAAATACATAAATAAAAATTTTTAAAAAAGTTATTGCTGGGACTAGTGCTGTGACGTAGCAGGTAAAGCTGCAGCCTGCAGTGCCGGTATCCCATATGGGTACCAGTTCAAGTTCCGGCTACTCCACTTCTGATCAAGCTCTCTGCTATGGTCTGGGAAAGCAGTAGAGGATGGCCCAAGTCCTTGGGTCCCTGCACCCAAGTGGGAGATCCGGGAAGAAGCTCCTGGCTCCTGGCTTCCGACCGGCACAGCTCTGGCCATTGCGGCCAACTGGGGGAGTGAACCAGCAGATGGAAGACCTCTCCCTCTGCCTCTCCTTCTCTCTCTGTGTAACTCTTTCAAGTAAATAAATACATTAAAAAAAAAAAAGTAATTGAAGGAACTTAGAAGAAATACTTTTAGAGCAGGCTAAAAAAAATTAAGCAGCATCTCTTCATCACTGCTTTTTACAAGAATTTTTACCTCCAGGATGTCCTCCTGGGTATCTTGTACTTATAATAAGCAAGAATATCTATTTCTGAAAATTTTTAGTAAAAGAGGTTACCTCATACATGGAACCACATCTTGGAATACACATTATGAATGCTCCGTAACTGTTTGTTTGTTTATTTATTTTTGACAGGCAGAGTGGACAGTGAGAGAGAGACAGAGAAAGGTCTTCCTTTGCCCTTGGCTCACCCTCTAATGGCTGCTGCGGCTGGCACGCTGCGGCCAGCGCACCGCACTGATCCGAAGGCAGGAGCCAGGTGCTTCTCCTGGTTTCCCATGGGGTGCAGGTCCCAAGGACTTGGGCCATCCTCCACTGCACTCCTGGGCCACAGCAGAGAGCTGGCCTGGAAAAGGAGCAACCGGGACAGAATCTGGCACCCCGACTGGGACTAGAACCTGGTGTGCTGGCGCTGCAGGCGGAGGATTAGCCTAGTGAGCCACGGAGCCGGCCTGTTAATTTGTTTTTTAACTGATCTTCTTAAAACCAAAAACAGAAAGGAGAAAAGGCAGACCTGATTAGCTTTTTCTGTTCTCTATAAAATATACACAGTGCTTACCTATCTCTTAAGGTTCAAAGTTTCAAGAAAATAAATGTTATTGGTAAAATAAATCAGAAAATAAATAAATAAATAAATAAATAAATAAATATTGTTGATATAATACATCTAGTCAGGAGGACAATTCTGGTGACTGAAGGAATAAAATTTCTTTTTTTTTTTTTGACAGGCATGGATAGTGAGAGAGCGAAAGGTCTTCCTTTTGCTGTCGGTTCACCCTCCAACGGCCGCCGCGGCCGGCGCACCGCGCTGATCCGAAGGCAGGAGCCAGGTGCTTCTCCTGGTCTCTCATGGGGTGTAGGGCCCAAGCACTTGGGCCATCCTCCACTGCCTTCCCGGGCCACAGCAGAGAGCTGGCTTGGAAGAGGGGCAACCGGGACAGAATCCGGTGCCCCCGACCGGGACTAGAACCCGGTGTGCCGATGCCGCAAGGCGGAGGATTAGCCTATTGAGCCGCGGCACTGGCCCGGAAGGAACAAAATTAACAACTGTATTAAGTGCTCATGATGTGTGAAGCACTGTCCCAAGACTTGACTGAGTAGTAAATCATGTAATTTGCAAAACAATGTCAGTAGTAGAAGTTTAAGAGATCAGCCCAGGATCAGAAAATTAGCAAGGGCCAGAGCTGGGATATGAACTCAAGTAGTCTAATTAGAGACCAGGCTTAAGAGCTCTGCTAGTTGGGCCAGCGCCGCGGCTCATAGGCTAATCCTCCACCTAGTGGTGCCAGCACACGGGGTTCTAGTCCCCGGCGGGGGCGCCCAGATTCTGTCCCGGTTGCCCCTCTTCCAGGCCAGCTCTCTGCTGTGGCCTGGGAAGGCAGTGGAGGATGGCCCAAGTGCTTGGGCCCTACACCCCATGGGAGACCAGGAGAAGCACCTGGCTCCTGCCTTCAGATCAGCGCGGTGTGCTGGCCGCAGTGCGCCAGCCATGTTGGCCATTGGAGGGTGAACCAACTTCAAAAGGAAGACCTTTCTCTCTGTCTCTCTCTCTCTCTCACTGTCCACTCTGCCTGTAAAACACACACACACACACACACACACACACACAAAGAAAAAGAGCTCTGCTAGAATTTGCTTCAACACAGGACAGCAGAATCACAGTGGACAGTTCCTGTGTTCAAAATTCCAAAAGCCTTGTGAGATACAGTTCTAAGGGTCATACCCATGAATTAAACATATTTAAATATATATTACATACATATGTAAAATTTAAGTCTTCATCCAAAAATGAAGCCGACAAAGGGAGGAATTTCAAAATTACAATGAAAATTTTTATTCGGAAGAAAAACGTATTAAACATCAAACAACAGCTCCCTGACTAGTGCTTTAATTTGATCTTATATTCGCCAAATTTATCTCACTGTATGTAACAGGATCACTATAATTAGAAATAGAGAAGAGAAATTCTCTGTCACCTGGGTAATTTTAAGATCTTTCATAGAAATGTCTAATGAAAAAAATCTCTAGTTTAGCCTTTGGCAAGTTGTGAGTGTGTGAGGGGGAGATCTTTATTAATCAGAAGTAAAACATGAAAATTCTTTTTATTTGATTATTTTCCTGTTTTTATTTTGGGGACTTTTATCATATGTATTCTGATCTGTTCTGAGTAACTGTGAGGTTGAAAGGGGAAGTAAGCACACCCTCACTTGGCTGTGGAGGAACTGGGCCTCTTAGAGGTCAAGTGACTGACTTGGGAACACATGACATGTAAGCAGAATTACTGGTCTCTCACCAGAGCTCTTCACCACATTTATCCCCTCCCTCAAGGAAAAAAGGATGTGTGGAGTGAGCAGCTTGCCAATCTGAACACAAAAATCCACGCTTGGCGCATATAAACCTTTGTCTAGCTCTAGCAAATAAACAGTGCCCAATATGTTAACTGATTGATAAATGATGAATATTTTGCTATATGCTAGACATTTACTCTAGGTTAGCCCAGACAAAACACACAAAAGAAATCGAGACACTTCATAGGCCAAGTTACACTGCCTACACAAACCAACTGGGTAAAACAGACCTCTGTGAGAAGTTAATTAGCTGTTCTGGTCAGAATAAGGGTCTATACATACTATAGTAGATATTATCTAAAAAATCAAGTCCTTCATTTCTAAAGTTACACAAAGATTATTGGCTCCACAAATGCATACTATTAAATTCTACAGGTCAAACAAAACTTTCCAAAACACTTACCTCCTCTGTCAGTTTGGTGTTGGATTTTTCTAATGCATCTACTTTTGCCTGAAGGTTGTTTACAGTAGCACTATCAAGAGAAGAAAAAACATAATGGCATCTTTTGAAAAGCGGAACAATACCTTGTACTTTACTTTCCAAATACTCACCACACTTACCTTTCACTGTCTAATGTCTATAGTTCCTGGTTGACTCCCAGGCTGTACACAGCTTGCAAAGGGCAGTGTTTGCCTTCACTGCTATTTTGGCATTGTAGTTTGTATTCAGTATTTGCTCAGTGAAATAAAAAAGCTAATTTCCTATACACTAAATTTTAAGATGACTATATATGACAATAACAGGCTACAGTAATTGTTTATACACACCAAGAACTTTTCAAATAATTTTACTTGCATTTTTTCACTTACTCCTTTCAATAACCCTATCTGTTAGGTATGCGTAGTCACAGATTAAAAAACTAAGGCACAGAAAGAGTAAATAATCTGCTGTAACACTTCCATAACTCATTACAGTCTTTATTAGTTCCTGGTCCCCAAAGAAAATTCACTTAAATTAGTTTTGAATTTGCTAGCTGGAACCAAGACTACCCCAAATTTATACTGATGCTAGATAATCATATTAAGGTCTTACTTAAATGAAAAATGGCTATCTTTCATAAGAGAACTATAAATAAGGTAGGCAGGAGTTCAGTATAGACTTGGAGAGTATGGTGTGTTCACAGTTTCACATGTCCCTTTCCCCTCCAACAAATCCCCAGTAAAGTTAAGATTATTCATCCATTACTTTAAATGTCTGTTGAGTTCTTCTACATAGTTCTTCTGGTCCAGAATTGCAGTAATCTGACCATCTCTAGAGGGGAAAAACAGAGGAAATCCAATAAAATAAATAACTTTAGAAATAACTAAATAAATCTAAATAACTTTAGATTCTGCTCCCCAACCCCTGTGTTTTTTCATAATACAGGAGAAAAATTGTGGCACAGATACAGTGAACCAGAAGACAGAAGTGATGAGCCCTCTCAACAATAAGAAACACTCAGAAGTTTAAACATAAAAAAAACCCTACATTAATAAAATCCTTGTTATAACTTACAAACCTAAAGACCTTAAGTAGTGTTACACTACTTTTAAAGGATAAAGGAGGCTTTTAAAGGATAAGCATTTTCTTGTGAGTAGTGGGTTTTTTTTTCAACTTCACTAGTATTACCTACCAATAATTTTCCTTTTGTCATAGGCACTGAACTAAGCTCATTGCAGTGTTACATGGTTGTTCTCAAAGGCTTTGTACAGTATTTGCCTTTAAGTGCTATTTACATTCAAACCGAACGGTTTAAGTTGAGTAATCCCTATCTGAAATGCTTGGCACCAGGAGTGTTCAAATTTTGCAATATTTACATGGACTTTACCAGCTGAGCATCCCTCTTCTGGAAATCTGGAATCCAAAATCTAAAAGTTTTTGAGCAACATTGTCAGCACTGAAACAGTCAGATTTTAAAGCATTTCAGACTTTAGATTTTTGGATTAGGGATGCTCAACCTTTATAAAAAACTTTCATGAAGATCAAGAATCTAATGTTACATGAAAAATAAACTGGGGAAAAGGTTCACTTCTACAACCAGCTAAACTGATAATAGGCCAAAACTGAACAGCCTGCCTTTTCAGCTGAAAGATATGAAAGGTCATGTATCTGGACAACTACCAGAAGAACAAGTGATATAATCTTAACTCAATAGCCAAGGTTAACAACACTAGACTAATTATGCTTTAAACTGCTAAATTTATAAAAGATATAAGGTATGCTTTTGACCTCTAATTACTAAGTAACATAATGAATATATTTTAAATTTTTGAAATAATTTTAGATTTACAAGAATTATAAAGACAGTATAGATTTCCATATACTTGTTCTTTTTTCTTCTTCTTCTTTTTCTTTTTTTTTTTTTTTTTACAGGCAGAGTTAGACAGTGAGAGAGAGAGAGACAGAGAAAGGTCTTCCCTCCTTGGTTCAACCCCCAAATGGCCGCTATGGCCAGTGGTGCACTGTGCTGATCTGAAGCCAGGAGCCAGGTGCTTCCTCTTGGTCTCCCATGCAGGTGCAGGGCCCAAGGACCTGGGCCATCCTCCACTGCCTTCCGGGGCCACAGCAAAGAGCTGGACTGGAAGAGGAGCAACTAGGACAGAATCCGGCACCCCAACCGGGACTAGAACCTGGGGTGCTGGCTACTAGGCTAATCCTCTGCCTTGCGGCACCGGCACACCGGGTTCTAGTCCTGATCGGGGCGCCGGATTCTGTCCCGGTTGTCCCTCTTCCAGGACAGCTCTTTGCTGTGGCTCGGGAGTGCAGCGGAGGATGGCCCGAGTACTTGGGCCCTGCACCCCATGGGAGACCAGGATAAGTACCTGGCACCTGCCACTGGATCAGTGCAGCGCGCCGGCCACGGCAGCCATTGGAGGGTGAACCAACGGCAAAGGAAGACCTTTCTCTCTGTCTCTCTCTCTCACTGTCCACTCTGCCTGTCAATAAAAAAACAAAAAACAAAAAACAAAAAACAAAAAAACACATAATGCCATGTACACCTTTCACATTTCAAATGTTAAGCAAAATGAAATTGCAGTTCCTCTGGTCAAGACCATCACATTTTCAAATACACCTTTAAGAGATGGAGAGCTGGATTCCTCTAGTAAGTTTCTATTTTGTTTGTCCTCAAAGCAGACAGCAGGAAAATCACTCAACAAAGAACCCTTTTGGTTTAGCAGTAGGCAGAATAGTTAGGTATTTTTACCTATCATCAGAACTTTTTATAGCAAGTCTGCTTAAAGTATTACTCTAAGTATTAAATATGAACAAAGCAAAATATTACTGTATCAGAGAAAAAAAGAAACCTATTTTTCTTTGTACATACCCTTCACTACCTTTACTGCTGTTCCCATCCTTGAGATACATTGAAAAATCTATAACTCCAACCTACAGACAGAATTTTCAGAATATAAAATTAGATACTTTTAGAAGAGCATAGATAAATTTCTCAAAGTACTCAAAACAGTAATATACTCATGACAATTATCAGAAATTTGTGATAGAAATTACTGCCTTAGTACAATAAAAAATTGATAAGGTTGGAAATAATAATCCAGATTAAGTCAATAGGACTGGAAGGCCATCTTGTAACAATCAATGGAATCCTTAATACAAACAAGGCCTAAAGTTTCTTTCCCTTTTGTTTACTTCAGGTATTTTGCTACTGAATCGACATTAGGAATAACTTTAAAAAAATTTTAATTACAAAAACAATGCACATTCCCCTGCAGAAGTTTTAGAGAATACAGTTAAAAAGAAAGTCTTATGACAGTCATAACCTCAACCACCCTAAACTGAACTCTGTTAACACTTTTATGTCTATTCTCTCAAACTTCATTGACACAGATGCTTAATCTTTCAGGTTTGCCATTCAACTATTCAGTTTATGTATTTTTTAAAATCCACATCAAAATATCATACTTCCTTTTCCATTTTTCCCAGTAAAATATAACAGAAACTTGTTCCTGTGGGAAACAGTCATAGTGAAAGTAGCATTATTTATTTTGCAATTAATTATGTGCTAGGTCCTGTTCTAAGTCCATTACACATATCAACTCCTATCGTTCCCCCTCACAATAGCTCAAGTAAATAACCTTTTTTGAATTAATTAATTTGAGAGGCAGAAAGAGAGAGAGAGAGAGAGAGAGCGCGCTCCCATGTGGGTGGCAGGAATCCAATTATTTGAGTTATTACTGTTGCCTCTCAGGGTCTGCATTAGCAGGAAGCTCAAGCCAGGAGCTGAGATTTGAGCTCAAGTACTCCAAAGTGAGATGCAGGTGTCATAATCACTAAGCTAAATGTGCGTCCCAGGGATTTTTTTTTTGTCTCTGTATTACATCAAGGAATCTGAATTATCAAGAAACTAACTACAAAATATATTCACCTAAAAAATGAGGAAGTCAGAATTTAAAACTAATTAGTTTAGCTTCAGAGCCTTTACTGGTAACTATCATGCTAAGCAGACTTTTCATAAATGGTGTGTAACTGTGTGTCTAGGTATAAATATATATATATAGTGTATATATATATATATAAGGATACTTCATAATGATTATAGAAATGGATGCTCATTTGTTGTAAAAAATTTTGAAAGCTTTACTTGATTTTTCCTAATGTATATTTTTATATGAATGGATTTCAAAATTGTTTTTGAACTTGCCATTTAATTCCACTTTTCAACAACATTTTGAAGTACCCTCATACATGTTTAATAGGGAACATGGCTAAGGCAAGAATTTGAAAAATTCATAATACATAAATGAGCCAACTTGGAAGGAAACAGGCTACTTTCATTATTCACATCAAAACTGAAGCAAATACTATTTGAGACTCACAGAATTTCTAATTTGGTCAGCATAAAAATCTAATCAATAAAAATTCTGAAGTAATGGGACTTGGACGGACACACCTGAGAGTCTAGATCTTCTCCTTTCATACAGAAGTTGGCATCGATGACATTCAGACCCACCAACAAACCAGCAATTATGGCTCCTTCTTCTTCCATCATGAGGGCATTGGGTTCATAGAATTCACTGTAAGAGAAATCCACAGAATTCTCCATTATAATAAAGCTGCAAAAATTAAATTCTTCATGGTTGAAACATGGTCATCTATGGTAACAATGAAAAAGTTAAAAAAAAAATTCATTAAATACTTTATGTAATAGGTGCATAAATAGATAATGGATGGTCTAGCTTACTTTATGACATTGAACCTACTAAGGAGAGAGAAAGTTGAAGATGGTAGTAATACCTGAGAAGTTCCTTCTTATTGATCAAAGCTTTCATATATTCTGAGAGTTTCTTTTGCATTAATGCCAAACGAAGCCAGGCTCTTCCTCTACCTACTGGTGTCCTACAAAAACACAAACCAAACAAAAACATAACAGAGACAGGGGTCATGGAGGAACAGACTCACTTGCTAAGGGTCTCCCAGTGTAACAAGCACACTGGGTACTCCCCACAACCTCTCCCACCTCATTGCTATCCAAGGAATTTTGTGTGGGCTACTGGGACCCAGGGGTGCATTTGAGATGATAGCTCTCTCAAAGAACTAATGAGTGAATGTGCCTGCAATCTGAAAATGTTCCATTAGATATGTATGAGTAAATCCTAGTAAATTCAGTGCAGATTGTATGTACAAGCAGCCAAACACTATTGTGGACACAGGCAATTTAGGTTTCTATCTGGTTAAAATTAAAGCAATCTCATTTGGGAAGTGATCACCACTCTCCTTCAAGTTCTAAGGCAGGCTGCAGGAGTGAGTTTCTGATGTTCACGTGACAGTTGTTTCAGTCTTTGCTCTCAAACTCCATCAAATACAGTCTTTTTCCTACATTGCCACCTCCCAAGATTGCTATTTCTTGAGACTCATCAACTGATTCTCACAAGTTCTATAAAAAGTAAGATAATGTTTGGTATTCCACCAAGGAAACAACTTCTCTTAGATGAATAATTAACCCTCAAGGGCACATTTTCCTTACTATGCTACATACCAGTTCTCTCATAACAGTGCCTATTCATAACAATGGTATATATTTTGGATTGTTATGAAATAAACAATGGTGGACATCTTTATCTTCTTAAGGGAACAGTTGATAAAGATGCTCCTAACGAGCAGAATCCAACCCTAGACTTACTTAAGTCCTGGAAGATCTTTAACACTTGCTGTTATCTCTGCAGCTTCTGGAACAAGTTTTTCTACTAATTCCAGAGGTCCCCAGAAGGATTTATTTTGTCCAAGAAAAGTTTTTTTAGCTAAGGAAATAAAAACAAAGCAATATTTTAAATATTCTTTACAACATAAGCACATCCTCAAAACACATACACACATCTACTCAATGTTTTTTTCAGGTAGCCAATCCTAGATTATTAGTTTTAAAATTATGCAAGCTTTAATAATAGATAAGATTTTATGAAAATAAAATCTGCATCCCAACACTCAATGCTTCTTAAGGAAGGCTTTGTGGCCTTAGCCCTAAGAAACAGAATCAAGGTGAACCAGACCAAGTGCTGCTCTCAAAAGCTCATAGTTCAGTGGGAGGAGCAATGAGGAATACATCATGAGGCCTGAGATCTGGAACCCTCTCTGCTCCAACCCACTGTGCAAGTCCGTCTAGGCAAGCCTGTTTCTGCCTGTCAAATGGACTACACTCTTGCACTTGATTACTTATAATAACCCTTACAACAGGAACATAAAAGCATCTTTTCTTCAGCCCAACAAATCCCCAATTTAATAACAACCCTGCCCCCATTGAAACAGCATTCCAATGCATTATTATTATTATTATTAATTCACACCTCTTACTCTTTGGTTCCACAAACAATGCTCTTTTCTTGAGTGTATATTGCTGGGAACCAATATATATGCACCAGTGTGTGTGTATGTGTGCATATATATATATATATATAGAGAGAGAGAGAGAGAGAGACCAGTATATATGCACGCCCATTTGTATTGTGAGGCCACAGCCTACCTTTCAAACCATGTTTCAGACAGTGCTCCATCACCACAAAGAACTGCTGAAGGGGTGCATAGTCAGAATCCAGAGTCCTCCCCAGGTTCAGAGCTGACTCAATCAAGCCCTTGATGCTCAGCTTGGCCATGTTCATCAGGTTCATGCGTTCGTTAGCCATGAGATAATTAGGATCTGCAGCAAAAGGGGGAGGGGGGATGAAGCCTGGTTAATGGAAATGACAACTTTTAAAATTCAATATAATTTTACTGTGTTCCCAATTTCACAGATGTATAAAGGCAGTAGTGGGTAAGAGTGCTGGTGCCAAGTCAGGAAGCAAGGAAGTGGCACCACACTGTTCTATTAGTTGTATTCATCTTTGCCATGTATTGCTGTTTTTTAAAAAAAAAAAAAAGATGCCAGTTTCTCTTAAGATTCTTCTTGATGAAGCAGTAAAAAGTATTTTAATCAAATCAAAAGACCTACATAGGTTTTTTTTCTTTATTTTTTGACAGGCAGAGTTAGTGAGAGAGAGACAGAGAGAGAGAGACAGAGAGAAAGGTCTTCTTTCCGTTGGTTCACCCCCTAATGGCCAATATGGCCGGCGTTGCGCCAATCCGAAGCTAGGAGCCGGGTGCTTCCTCCTGGTCTCCCATGCGGCTGCAGGGCCCAAGCACTTGGGCCATCCTCCACTGCCTTCCCGGGCCACAGCAGAGAGCTGGACTGGAAGAGGAGCAACCGGGACTAGTACCCGGTGCCCCAACTAGGACTAGAACCCGGGGTGCCGGCGCTGCAGGCGGAGGATTAGCCAAGTGAGCCACGGCGCCAGCCCATACAGTCTTTTAATATCCTCCCCTCACCTCTGCCACCAGCCCCACCTGAGCACCCATCACTACAGCAGCACCTGCACTCTGGTCTGCACTGCCACTCTCTTCCATTCTCTACAGTTCCTAAAGTGCTCAAAGAAAAAAAGGAACGTGGCAAAATAAGATAGAGTGCTTGAACAAACTTTGCTCCAAGTGTTTACTATTTGAATTATTAGTATTTATACTAATTTAGCACTATTATTATTTAAACTAAGCATTAGCTAAGTATAATGCAATACTAGAACTGAATCAACTCCCCGGGATTTAAGACTTGGGATCTGGTGTGTGGCTCTCATCAATCCCACTGATAAATGATTTGATGAAAAGGACTAAAAACCACATTTTATCTGATAGTACTCAGAAAAACCTAAGCACTCACCATCTCATTTATTGGGCTTATCCTGTGCTATACTCTGCGGGCTCCTTCTTACAATTATGAACCCAACTACTTCTTACAACATGTTTTGAAACAGTCACCAATGCCATGATTTTACAGAAAAAGAAAACGAGAGAGACTTAGAGAGTAAAGGGTCAACTGCTCTGCTAATTCACCATGTAACCCTGGGCAGATCACAGCCTAGTCTAGCTGTAGCTGGCCCACTGGCACAGCTGGTAATCAGTGCCAGAGCCACAGCCGAAACCCCACTTGTCTGATCCAAATCCTGGGCTCTTAACAATTATAACCTCTTTACAAATGAATGGATGACTCTGATTAATGTTGATTCCATCCTCCTCCTATTTAATTACTATGTTATTACAACCATTGAAGTATTCTCCCTTCTTTTCCTGTTCCAAAGCAGACCATAACAGTTTAGCAGCTCAAGGCCAAACAGTTCCTAAATAGTATAATTTGGACCTGGATCTGACACAAAAGCTCATGTAGTTTCCACTACACTGTGTATATCTTCCCAAGTATCAAATCTATATTAAAGGGGCTGGCACTGTGGCATAGCAGGTTAAGCTGCTGTCTGCAGAGCTGGCATCCCATATGGGCACTGGTTTGAGTCCCAGATACTCCATTTCCTTTTTTTTTTTTTTTTTTTTTTTTTGACAGGCAGTGTTAGTGAGAGACAGAGACAGAGAGAAAGGTCTTCCTTTTTCCTTTGGTTCACCCCCTAAATGGCTGCTACAGCCGGCGCGCTGCACTGATCTGAAGCCAGGAGCCAGGTGCTTCCTCCTGGTTTCCCATGTGGGTGCAGGGCCCAAGGACCTGGGCCATCCTCCACTGCCCTCCCGGGCCACAGCAGAGAGCTGGACTGGAAGAGGAGCAACCAGGACAGAATCTGGTGCCCCAACCGGGACTAGAACCTGGGGTGCCAGTGCCGCAGGCAGAGGATCAGCCTAGTGAGCTGTGGCGCCAGCCACTCCACTTCCAATCCAGCTCCCTGCTAATGCACCTGGGAAAGCAGCAGAGGATAGGCAAATCCTTGGGCCTCTGTACCCATGTGGGAGACTGGGAAGAAGCTCCTGGCTCCTTGGCTTCAGATTGACCCAGCTCTGGCCACTGTGGCTATTTGGGGAGTGAACCAGCAGACGCAAGATCTGTCTCTCTCTCTCTGTAACTCTGCCTTTCAAATAAATAATAATAATAATAATAATAATAAAAATACCTATAAGATGTGTTTTGAAAAATCTTTGTTAAAAAGTAAAAGGCATACAACTCTATGAAATATTTTACTTTTTCTTAGAAAAACTAAAAGTACTAATAAAATTATTAATGAAACTATACTTCCATAATACAGATAAGCCACTTAATACAAAACAGAGATGATTGTATGCCAATTATCCCAAGTAGTTGTCTTCATAAGTGTTTTACTTATATCTATTACCACAGTTAAATGAGAAGAGTCAAATGGGCAAATTCTAAACTAATCTTCTCCATAAGTTTAAGGATTTACAGTTTACATAGATTTTAGTTCCAAATGTACAAATTTTGGTTTATTGTAGTGCTTTCTGAGGCAGTACTTTTAGAGAAGTACTGTATATAAAAGTGAGAGTTGGTACAAATTACCATAAATTCTTTCTTGCAAACAAATATTTCAGGGCCATGTTGCAAATGGGCTGTCTTTGTTCATGGCAGATCAACTTGTTAAGCACAGAGCAAGTTCACAAGAGACAGTGAAATACACGAGAAAACTATGCCCTAAAAGACAACCACAAAAAACAACATCACCAGGTATTAATTTCTACTCATCACTAGCATTTACTTGTAGTTTAGTGTCTCTGACCTCTTATCACCACTGGACAAAAGCAACAGGGCATGGGTGCGGGCATGAATGTTAATGGAGAGCACCTGGACTCCTCATTTAGCACCTCTGAACAGACGGCAACAGACTGTGGTTGCAGTTGGGTAGTTATCTTCCCTAAGAAAACATTCGTTCTGAATCTGTAGGCTGTTAATTTAGGAGCTAAGAATTAGACTAAACACTGCTAGTAGTCAAAGTTTAGAAGCAGATTCCAACCTCTATGTGCAGAGAACTGGATTTGGAGTAGATAGAAAAAATCATGCTTTGAGACATTTTCCTGGATGTGGTGATAGATTTCTATCAACCATCTACAAAGCATAATCTTGCTCTTTGTGTAATCAGTAGCAGCTACATTTAGAACACCTAGCTGGGGTCAGGGATGCAAGTAAGATTACCTGTGCTTATGGTAATTATATTCCTGAACCCCATCACTCCATCACTCCATCTGAACTCCATCACTATGTTCCTATAACCTATTTACATTCACCTATATCAAACACAAACACTCCATCCATTCTTGAGAAAATACCACTCTCAATCTTGGCACTACTGACATTTTGAGCTAGATAGTTCTTTTTATGGGGGGAGGGGGCTGTTCTATGAATGAAGTTTAGCATATGAGGGTTCCAGGTGACGCATTCTGGACCAGGGGCAGATGGTCATAGGGCTGCTTGGCTGCAAGGAGGAGGAACTGGAAACTGGAAGGAGGCTGTAGAGAAGACTGAAACGTGCTGCCATGCAAGGGTTGAGGTTCAAGGTTGGAACGCAGCCAGGGAGTGTGTCTGATACACTGCAGGGGTCGTGATTGCTCAGGGACTGAGGTAGGATCTGGCTGGACACAACCAGGAAGGCTTGTCTTCATCAGGCCTAATTTATAGCTGCAGGGTAGGCCTTACCAGAGGCTCCCTTCTGTGTCGCCGCCCCGGTTGCTACTCCTATTCTCTGGCCAGGAGACGGCCTTCCCAAGCCCCACACTGGAGCCAAAGATGAGGCACCATTTTTGACCTTCCCTTGTGTCTTCTGCGCCTGCATGAAGCCTGGACCCAAGGTAAACGCTTAGAGAAGCTCATGGAATTGAACTGAATTGGATCACAAGACGGTGTAAATAGAGAATAAGAGCAGGGCAATGAGGAGGAGTGGGATTATCTGGATCCAGCTCAGGGAAGTCTGTATAAGGATGTCATGATGGAGAGTTATGGAAACCTGGTCTCACTGGATTTTTTTTTTTAATTTTTATTTCACAGGTAGAGTTACAGACAATGAGAGAGACGGAGAGAAAGGTCTTCCTTCCGTTGGTTCACCCCCTAATGGTCAATACGGCCGGCGCTGCGCCAATCCGAAGCCAGGAGCCGGGTGCTTCCTCCTGGTCTCCCATATGGCTGCAGGGACCCAAGCACTTGGGCCATCCTCCGCTGCCCTCCCGGGCCACAGCAGAGAGCTGGACTGGAAGAGGGGCAACCAGGACAGAATCTGGTGCCCCAACCGGGACCAGAACCCGGGGTGCCGGCGCTGCAGGCGGAGGATTAGCCAAGTGAGCCACGACGCCGGCCCTCACTGGATGTTTTGAACAGAGATGATGAGGAGCCAACTGTTAAACAAGAAACTGAGGAAAAAGTGGAACCACAGGATGTAATAGTTACAAGAATCAAAAGTGAAATTGACCAGAACCCCACAGGAAGAGAAACTTTTGAACTGTTGGTAGGTTAGATAAACAGAGAGGGATCTTCTTATGGGAAATACCAAGGGAATCTTTGACCCAGGAACAGAGAATGTTTAGGGGAAACACTAACATTATCTGTAAGACACCAAACTCAGAAGAGAAATGCCACAAATGTGAAGAATGTGGAAAGGGTTTTGTCCGCAAGGCCTATTTCATTCAATATCAATGGCTCCATCCATACTGGTGATGAACCTTTTCAATGCAATGAATGTGGGAAAAGTTAAAAAAAAAAAAAAAAAAAAGTTTAGCATCATCCCAAGTCTGTACCCATTAGATGTCAGCGTCACCCTCCAGTTATGACATACAAAAGTATCTTCAGATATTGCCATTCTCTGTGAAACAAAATCAGGCCCCTTCCCCACT